CTTCATTACCCATTTAAGCCATCTCCAACCATTATTGTGGATGTTAAATAAGTACCTCAAGAGCAGAGTCTGAATGTCTTAACACCTAAGACTAATCTTTTGTTTCTTTGATACCAAACTTGAGTTTGTAAAAGGTGTGGGCTATAGATGTATTTTTGCATAGTCATGGTGATTTAGCAGTTAAAATCTGTTTGTTGCTTCTTTTTGTAATAATACATAACCTTTAATTGTATTGTCAGTGATTAGAGTCAGAGGGACTTCAGTGAGTTAAATCTTTTTGTTGGTTCTTTTTTGACAAACATAGCTTAGTAATAAAATGTGGACTTTAGATGTAATTTCAGTGAAAGGTCAGGGTGATATATGAGTTAACCTTACAAGTACAACAGGTAGAGGAGTCAAAGTGTACTTGTAATGACATTTACAGATTTACATTCAGAATTTAGTTAAACAGCTTTATTATCAATGTATGTCAATAAACTTGCCATCAAAACAGTTAATATTTCAAGTTTGATATTATATAAGCTACAAGTTCTTAATTTCAAAAGGAAATATTTAAATAAATTCTTGACCATCACTTCTTTGCCTCAAATTGCCCATTTTAGATTTTTTCTACCTTTATATGATCTTCTGAGTCTTTCACAAATTGTACACTTATACTTTAGGTATTGCTAAGCCATAATATAGATTTATATCCTACAATCTTCTTGTTTTACTGATGTATAAATCAGAAAGGAGAGTCAAAGTAGTCACATGAAAGAGAAGTTCAGTCAGAGAAAAGTTAAAACATAAAATTAAATGTCGTAGGAGTGAATGGCCTAACAGTTTATGTTAGAAAGAAATTAACAGTTTAAAACAGACGAGGAGAATAATTTGTTTTGTCAAATGGTGTTCTAAACTAATTGAACCTGATTGTGTGGACTTTGACAAAAGGCAGACGATTATTGGAAGTTCGGAATACAGCTGTTTTAAATCACATGACAACGCAAGTAATTTATACGTGGATACTATCGCAGTAAAAATAGAGTGGAATTTTCACAAGAAGAAGTGAACTGTGTAGCGTGTAATATACAGTTATGATCTCCATAGTGTAAAGAATTTTATACATAAGTTTAACTTATTTCAAATACATATATTATTTTAAAGACAATTTTTATTGCCAACAAACACCTATTGTAGAAGAATCGTTAGCTGAACACACCCATATATTTACATTACTATGTATACTACTAAAAAGTAAGTTTCTGACACATAGTTAGATAAAAAGAAAGTATGAACTTTACTACAAACTATCCTAGACCTAAGGAAGTTCTAATTTCTTGTTTTTTATGTATACTTTCTATTTATTGTAATATAATTTTTATCAAAGTAACTAAAATGTAAATCTTGAAATGTTAAATGAAAAAAATACAAACAAATTTTTGCCTTGAATAATGCATGAGGAACATATATAGTTAGAGATATCATTGGTGTAATCTGAAACTTTGTTCACTCTAAACTCACCACATTCTCACTGGGTCGTAGTAATTAGAATTGGTTTAAAGAACAAACATTCAAATTTAATTGAAAGCAGTTGTGAAAAGTTAAAAGCTCTTGGGATAAATAATTGTGATTGCTTCTTAAAATCTTCAGTCGTTATAAAAAAAAAAAAGGCATTTTTAATTTTATTACATATCTTTTAACGTTTGCTGTAACTAGTGCTAGAATAGAGAAAATAAGTGATAAAGTTTAAAGTTTTTATGAAAAAAATTTGATTCATTTAGGAGGTTCTAGAGGTTTGGCAAATGAAATATGAAAACCAAGAAGAAAAGTATTTTTATACCTAGCATGAAAATAACCTTTCATTCACACTGACTCAATAAATATTTCAGAAATTCAGAGACAAATCTTTACTAAAAACCTTATTTTTTTTGAAGAAACACTCAGTAAATTTAGAATTATAATAAAAATTGCTGTGTATAACTTCACAGAAATGGGGGTTGCTGCAATGCACAAAATGCCATACCTCTAGTGTTAAAACCTGTTTTATTTTTGAACAAACATCCAAAGTAATAATATGTGATGACCTTTAGTTGTATTTTCAGTGATCAGGGTCAAGATGACTTACCAGTTTAAACCCTGTATTGCTTTTTTTTTTAACAAACATGGGCAAGCTATAGGCTATTGATGTAAGTTATATTTTCAATATCAATAATTATGTTTGGCTAAACTGTCAAACTTGTTTAGTGCTTCTGTACTAACATATTGTGAGGTAGGTGTAATTTGTTGATTTTAGTTAGTACTGAAAATTCAACAGTCAAAACCTGTTTAGTGCTTCTATGTTGTGGCTCTGTAAGTAGAAAGAAGGAAGCCAATGCTTAAAATAAACAACTTCTGTCAGGTACAATAAAAATTACTGCACCAAAGTGTTGATAATTTTATTTCTCCTTATGACATATATGACCATTTTTGTATTTTCATATTTTTATAAGCTGTTGAACTTTTGTTTTTATATGTTAAACTAGTAATATCAAAATGTCTTCACTGAAATGTATTTTAAGAAATTTATACGTGCAATTGTTTGACTTGCTTGTTTGTAAAAGTTTTGATAGTTCCTTAATATTCATATGTAGTGAAAATACCAATTCTAGATTTATTATTAACCTTTCTAACCAGCAGTTTTTGATTGTTTAATTTCTGTAGTGCACATTAGTGTATAAAAGACATTTTATCTTAAAAAATTATCTTAAAACTCCGAAGTTTTTGACTCTAGTTTTATTAATGTTATCTAAGTAAGTTTTCAGTTTTTTTTGTTATTTTACAGATAATCATCAGCAAAAGAGAAAAATTTTCTCTCATTGGGAGATGAGGCAACAGACAGAAAAGTAAGTGATAGAAATTCTGATTTTTGTTTGTTTTTACATGCTGATCATTACTCTTGAATCATTACGTATAGTTTTTAGTACATGAGTAATTGGTATTGTACTAACTTGAACCTTATGGCAGGTGCTTTCATACTCTGGCTTTTTCAGGACTGATGAGAGATGATTCTTAGATATAGGCAAACATTTAAGATATCATCCGTCAAATCACATATACATATATATACATTTTATTTTCAAGACTATCCTGACTATCTGTCATAAGTATCAGCATTTTATTAGTTTAAAATATATTCAGTATTGAGAAAAATTCATTAAAGTTTCTACATTCTTTTCTAAATTTTTATTGTCTGCAAACTTTTAGTATATGCATAAGGATTGTAAAATCTCATGGTAAAACTTTAGAGAGCAAAGTAATTTTGTTACTTGTACTGAGATTACAGAAAACAAATGGGAATTTACAAGGGCACATTTCTTGTCATTGTATCGGCAAAAATAATGGTAACTTTTTCACATTCAGCTTTCTCTGTGAGTTCATTTTCTTCTGACAGCATTGTGAACCTGAATAATCTTTCTTGACCTATTGTGGGTCTTAAATATGTTTTGATAACTTTAGCTTGGAAAAGTTTTTTTCAGCTGTTTCTACTGTTACAGGAGTGTTAAGCAAAATTCTTAGGGCAACCCAAATAATCAGATACAAATTGTCTAATTCATGCTTCTGAATGTACTGAATAATTTCTATTGGGTTTCTATGTTCTTTGAGCAACAAAGCTTTCAAACTCTTCAGTTCATTACACATTTCAACAGCATTTATATTTGAATTGTTTTCATGTATCAGGATGTTCTCCTTCAGTTTACAGCTGTTGAAGAGCACAGTGCCACTATCAGGAAGTGTTTCAGAATTGTAAAAGAACTCCCAGGTTTTATATTTTTCATTTAAAAATGCTAATGGTGTACATACAAATGGTTAAAAAGAATTGATATTAAAACAATACTTGAGTCTTTGGATGTTTCATCTTCATGTTCGTTATCAAAATGCTACTTTTAATGAATCATTCTGTGTCAACATTCAAAACATGGTGCTATTCCTAGCTTTCTGACCAATTCATTTGCATCAACAAGCCTGTTTTTTTCTGAATGACAATAAAAGTTCATGTGTTTTCTTCAGAAGGTGGAGGACCTCTGAGATTGAGATGTTCTCTCAACAATTCCACACATCTTTAAACTGGTTTTAAAATATCTGACAACAAAAGAGAATTGTTCTTGCTTGCTTATGTTGGGAGTATGTCAAGCGTAGCTATGAAGTACGTTTTCTTTCTCAATTCTTTTGTAATGGTTCAACTTATTTCATTGCTGTGCAGTTTTATTTGTTCATTTTGAATGTGTTTACCTACTGAAGACATGGTTCATGTTTCACTGGTTAAAACTATTCACTTGCTCTGCATCACAGGACCAAACCTGCTAATGAGTTAAGTTAAACCAAACCAAGGTTCATTCTCCCCACCATTCTTTTTTCTTGCTCACACTTCTTCCCCTCTTCCTTCCTCCTGATCTCCAATTTGCTATCTCCCATAATATGCACTCAAGGTAGATGCCCAAGTCACCTACTCCTTAGACTGTTGCTGAGCTTTTTATTGTTTATAGGCTTATAGCAGTGTGCTATAGTGGCTTATAAATAGGGTTTTCTGCAAGCTATTTTCCCCTTTTGGTAATCATTATTGCACAGACAGATCACTGTGAAGCTTTCCAGTTGTGCTTTATTATGCTAGTCCATTATCTTCAATTTATCCCTGTCCTTATTGTCTTTTAGAACTGAATATCTTTTTCTCTATTTACTGCTTTGTGCAAATCCACCTTGTCCCTAGGAATATTTCCTCATATAATGAAATTTATCTGTCAAGTAACCATTATTTTCATTGTGGGTGGTCTTATGTTGTAGTTGATTTTTTGATAAAAGTTCTCAGGGTTGTTAGGTGATGGAACATGATCTTCAACTAGTGAAGGCAACACAACTAGTTTTTGTGTTAATTTTCTTGGGATCTGAAACAACTAAAGGCTTAAATGCTTGTGTGATAATGTTTGTTAGGCAGAACCATAATCTCTTGATACGTGAATGGAGACTTGTCCTTGAACTATTGAATCAAAACCTTTATTTTTGCTGACTCACTTTAACATGGAGGAACTTGATTAATATCTTCAAGTTGTCTGTGAGTGGTGAACTTCAACTATATTTTTTGTTAGTCTTGTCTTTTTTTTTATGGGAATTATCTGCATTTCAGTTATATGCACTTCTTTTTGATCTATTTGTTTTTTTTACAATGAGGATATTACTGACTGTTAAAATGTCTTGATTTACATTTTCATCATTACCCATCTAATTTACTTCTATTTTCCCCATTCTAGTCATCAGTGGTTGTAAGACCTAGGACTGGTTGTTCATGTTGTGTCAACTCTGGGTTGGTGCATCGATCGAAGAAAATGCCTTCTGGTACCAGCTTTATTCCTGCTTATTTTCTTTCTGTATTAATCACCATGAGCTATAAGGTTTACGATTCCAGGTGTCAAGTTTTGGCTGTGTGCTCTATGATAAACTGCTAAACCTTAAAATATGAGCCATGTTGTTTTGCATATTGCTAAAACTGATACATTTTGCCCAATTTTAAGCCAGTGATGAATCGTATATATATATATAT